GAGAGAGACAGAAACATCAATGTGAAACACATCGACGGATTGCCTCCCACACGACCCTGACCCAGGCCAGGAATCAAACCTGCAGCCCAGGTATATGCCCTTGGCTGGGAATCAAACCCATGACCCTTCTGTGCATGGGCCAATACTCTAACCACTGAGGCACACCAGCCAGTGCTATATTCTTACTTTTAAACAACCTAGAACAAGATCTCATTTTATTTATTGGAGACTCAATTTCTTATACATCAAATGAGGGTGCAATCATCTCTCTGTATTGGTAAAACTGATACATCTCTCTAGATACTACTGTGTCTGAAAGATTTTACAAATATGACAGACGCTTTTATGTCACCAGGGTCAAGAATTTGCCAGATGCATGTGCCACAGATTCAGATGAAAAACCATGTGAACTGAACCTAAATTATCATTGTAGCTGCATAGTCCACTCACATTTCCTAGAAATAGTACATTTGGAGCCACACTTAACTGTGAGAAGCATCTTCTTCATCAGTTCTTACACATTTTAATTTTATGTAGAAATTAGACCCCTCATAGTCCCACTTAGAATTTGAGGTGACTTACAATTTTATAGCACATCTAAGGTAACAATTCTTTTTAGGCAGAACAGAAATCATCTCGGCCCTGGCCGGTTTGGCTCAGCGGTTAGAGCGTCGGCCTGTGGTCCTGAGAGACCCGGGTTCGGTTCCCACTAAGGGCATGTACCTCGGTTGCAGTTTGTCCCCGGCCCTGGTTGGTCGTGAGGGTGGCAGCCACTCGATGTGTCCCTTTCACATCGATGTTTCTCTCTCTCTCTCTGTTCCCTCTCTCCCTCCCACTCTACCTGAACAAAAAATGTCCTCGGGTGAGGATAAAAAAAAAAAAAAAGAAAAAAGAAATCATCTCGGTAAGAAGACATCCTTGTACCAGAAAGCTAGAATAACACTGTTTCTGAAATGAAATACTAGCTCGATCCCTGAGATGCCTGGCTGCCGCAACAGGGGACATGGAAAACCTTTGGTCTGAGAAAACAAAGTATGTACTTCATGTGAAAGGCAAATATTACCTTATTGCTGAAGACCGGGAGCAACAGACTCCATATGGTAAGGACGTTGCATAACAGAACGAGAACTCTTCAATGTACTGTAAACCACAATTTGTCCTGGACTATTGGAGAACTTCAAGCAGAGTTTTTCCAAGACGGGAGATGCTCATCTGTGTGACAAGCA